GAGCAATTTGGGAACCAAGAGTTTCATTTTAGCTCTACACAGAATGCCAATGTACCTAACAGATGTGAAATCAAACAAAAAAAAAATCCACCAGATTTAAAATTTGTTCCTTGTTTCATAGCATTCTTTGAACTCTTTCTGCTGTTTGCTCTACTGAAAGACTCTGCATTTCACATCTCAACATATGGAAAAGCAGTTTTGTAACTGGAAAACTTCACTATTCACGCACATAGCCTGGCATGAGTTTCTGAGGTATTTGTAACAATCCAGGGCACGTTTTTAGTGCCATTTAAGCCTAACTTGGTGACCCTTTCAAACCACCACTGGCCTTCCAAAGCACCAATGCTATGTTGGCAGTGGTATGAGTCTCAAAACATATCTAGGACCTCAGCTCACTGGAATTTTCAGTCCATGGTAACTATTTAGCGCAACATCCGCACAAGCTTTTAATAGAGCCACCAGGACTTATGTCATACTCCAGGCACACGGGGCCCAATCTGCTCAGCCTTTAACTAGGTCCCATCAGTATTCTGTCTCAAGGACTGTGGTAAGCGCTAATGCAAGTGTTAATAACTTTCGGTATTAACTAGTGGCTAGGGAATTTTTCCACCTTTTCCACCCCCCTTACATCTGCTTAAAAAAACCTCTAATAATAGCAACGAAGAACAGTCAAGTGGTTGCAAGACAACAGCAGATCAGATTCTTACCATGCGCTTTCATCCTCTTCCAAAGCCTGATTATTCTTCAGAAAGACATTTTAGATATACACAGATCAAAATAATTACTTGAGAAGTTATATTAATAGATTTAATGAAAAGCTATCAAAGAGACTTGAAGGTGTCCTAACAGTCATGATGAGCTTTATGCTGTCAGGGTTTCATGGAAGGAACAAAAAGGGAGGTAGAAAAGGAACTACTGCTATTCCCTAGACCGCACACACAGCCATACAGCCTGCCAAACTCAGTGGACTTTGCAGGCAACAGGCTTCCACTGGGGAGAAATTGTGCTTTTTCTATTAAATTCCCCCCGTGTTTGCAGTAGAGCTATCTATGAATATTCCTCCAACTGCAGAGACAGTGTAGGTGTGATTTCTGAGGTCTTACATAGTATGATAGAACATGACACTGAAGAGAACATAACAGCTTCTCTAAATTAAAAAAAAATACCAACATAAAGCAAAAACTAAGGCAGTGCATATTATCTACTACAGTAATTAGCAAATGACCATGGATACTATAAAAGATGAAAAAAAAAAGAATATTTAGTTTTCCTCCTTCAAGTGTCAGATGTACAACTCTCAAAATATCTAGATGCTGCTTTCTCATCACCTTCAGTGTCCCTGCACTACACACCCTGCTGAAGAGTCTATCCCTATATTTCTTGTAGACCCTCTTCAGCTACTGGAAGGCCGCAGTAAGCTCTCCCCAGAGCCTTCTCTTTACCAGGCTAAACAAACCCAGCTCTCTAAGCCTGTCCTCAAAGGAGAGGTGCTCCAGCCTTCTGCTGATTTTTGCAGCTCTCCGCTGCTATTAGGACTTGTGCTATTAGGTCAAAACAGAAAACTCAGCTGAGATGAGGTTTTATGCATTTCATACACTTTTTCTGTCCTCCTCCTTTCCCACCCCATTCCAGTTTTAAATTTTTTCCATCCCCCCATTTTCAGCAACTGATAACAGAAATTCCACATTTCAAGATGTCATCCCAAGATCCTGCACAAAATCCCAGCAAAAAGAGCAAAGAGACTAAAGACTAAATACTAAGACTAAACAGTGAACAGTATTTGGTCTGTAGACATTTCTAAAAAACTTTTTGAAGGCTTGGATGTTGGTAGAAGCCATCAGACAGAAATTGCTGGTCCGTATTTTAGTGTTCAGTGCTACTACGCAGGAGTTTAGCAAGGGACTCGCTACGGACAGGCCTCCAGATGAAGACCAACCAGATGTTCATAGCACACCTCGTTGCCAAAATTCCTTCAGAAGACATTATCTGTTCTAGAACACTGGGGAGAAAAAAAAAGAGGGAAAGAAATGTCTGCTGAGCGCACACAGAGAAATGAAAAGGAAAGCACTGGCTGAGTTCCAAAAATGAAAAACTAGCCTCAGTGAAGAAGGTGGGAGCTTTGCCACCAGATTTCAATGGAGACAGAATTTCACCCAATGTGAACAGTACTCTGGAAATATCCCCCCTCCAGACACACAGTGGGAGCTCTTCTGGCTCTGAATGCTCACTGGAAACACAGAAAGGAAAATTAAACCCAAACCAAGAAAACAATACCAGAATTATTAATCAACAAGCCAAAGGGATGCAATGACAATTAAGCAAAAGTACTGCAGAAATGAATGGAAACTAGGCAGCAAGTCCATTACCTCCTGGACTACTGAGTTCTGCCAGGAAAACAAAAGGATGCAAGAATGGGTGCTTATGCTGCTGGGCACAAGGGTGTCACATCAAGACTGCACTGGAGACAGTCTACAGAGATTCAGCAACAAGAGGAAGAAAAACTTCTTGCACAAATTCAGCCTTGCAGTGCGTTCCCATCATCAGTGCTATATAAAGAGGCCATAATCTAGTAACTGCAGCAAAGATTCCTAGGAGCAATCAGTGTCAGCACTTATAAATTCCCAGGCTGGACAGGTCACAGAAAGGGCACATGCAGCGAGCTCAGAAGTTGTGTAACTCTGAGGATTCTGGAAATGAGAAATATAATGCCTGAATACAATAAACTGACACAACATTTACAAAGCCCCAACTATATGACAGCTGTGACCCAGTTATTTAGCCTAAAGTTGCCCTCTGATTTAGTTAGCATTTGCTCTCACACCACAACTATATAGCGGTCCAAAATGTTCCCTTTTGTCTGCCTGTGATGTTAGGCTCTACCTAAGAGTGCCTGAGCACCAACAAAGCCACATATGCAAGTCAGAAGGACAAATTCCCATCACTGCTGGAATCAGCTTCTAGCTTTCAACTGAAGACCTCTTCTTTACTGGGAGATTCACTACAAAAAGAGACCAAATGGCTGTTTCTGGGAAATCTGCAGATTGCACTGCTTGCGATGTGGCAATGACAGCACGTAAACTTGCTCACCTACAACTGACTAGTATGCAAGTACTGTACTCCATGACATGAGAAATCCAGATGAAAATTCCTGGCTACATATTAAAGATAGTTGAGTGAGCTCCATGGTTTGCTGCCAGCTGTGTGCCTGGACACAGTACTGGCTTTGCTGCAAGCTCCTTGCCCATGGACTCTGCTATTAGCCCTTAGGATTGCTTAGTGATAAATGACTACTGTCCAGTGACATCAAAGCTTATGGGAAAAAGGGAGGACATGAAGGCAAAATTAAGCATCTCCGCATTCCTATTTTGTTCCTCTGGATCAAAGCAAGTTTTTCAATCAGTTATTTAGCTGGCAACTTGGAAAACTAAGAACAAATGTGTTTACACTGACACTATCCTTCTACAGACTCTGGCAACAAACCAGAAGGAAGGAGAAGAGAGAGGCTGGAGCAGTACTGAGCTCTTGTGCTCCCTGGCTGCCTCGACACTGGAACCACTGATGGCAAACCAGCAGAACTGCTACTCAGTGTGCCAAGATCCTGGGATGAAAAGCATGAATCACCCCATGTGCTGGGTTTTACACCAGACTGCTGTTTTTAATCAGTGTGGGCCATGCAGCTATTGGTCTGGTCCCTTCTTTCCTACATCAGTACCAGGCCTTGTAAAGAACAGTGAGAAAAGGGTATTACCTGCTAGGGGAGCTGCTGCTACAGGAACATACCAGGGGTACAGCTGAAACCAGAATGTAGCCCAGTCTTTGGTAGTATTGAGATACTGTGATGTAAAACCCCTCCTTCATAGTTTAAATCAGCCTATAATGTTTTTGAAAACAATTACTGGAAGGAACAAAATAACACCTCATTTTGAACAGCCCTTGCCAGCATCCGAAAAGGCTTAAGAAAATCACAGCTGTGTCAATGACCTTGTTGGATCCTGAACTTTGACTGTAAAAGGACCAAAACTGAAACAAGTATCTAACCAACAGGGAGAAAAATTAAAAACCCATTTTTGGGTCACTTATAGCTAAGGTCACAAGTGTTTCACTGCCATCACACTGGTTGTGATATGAGTCCCCTCATGTCTCTTCTATCGTTCACACATCATACTATTGCTTGACTCAGGCCCAGACTAATATGTAAAAACACTTTTTTTTTTTTTTTTTCCCAGGACCCATGCTAGCTCCATACACAAAACTGTATTTTCATATTCTTCTTATTCCCTTCAAGTATATCTGATGATTTTTTACAATATTGTAAATAGAGTCATAGAATACTAATACAACAGTATTAGTATTATGTATCAAACAGATATATTGATTTGCTATTTTACCTAATAGAAAGAATTTGAGTCTACTACAATGCTCAACCAAAGCAGCTGACAAATGTTCTTCTTAAACTGTCAGTAGACTATCAACAAGGAACATCATTTTTAGGAACAAAGTGCAGACATTTGGAGAGTTAGTAGATGAAATGGCAGCCCTTGAACAAGTGAAAACTAACCACTGAAAATATTCAAATTTCTCCTTTTTAGTAAAACTTGGCAGTGTTATTTCACTATGCTCAAATTTTCAAGTGCAGGAACTCTGACCATCAAACGTTATAAAGTGAGAAAACCAAAAGTGAATAAAGAAGCTGATGAGCTCCAGTTGACATAAGAAGATGAAAGGAAAGACAAAAATCAGAACTCAACTTCCTTTTTTGCTAGACCAGGGGCACACAGAATTTGCACACAGGCAAACACTACACACAGTGCTTGCAGTGCAGCAGAACGACACGATATCTTTAACTACTTACCTTGTGGAGTTCCTCTGGGCTTAACGTAAGGCCACTGCTCCACTATAAAAGCCCTCACAGGCCACTTTTCCCCCATTAAATATTGGTCTGCGATTCAAGTTTCTAACCATTTCTCCCCGTGCAAATTCTGCCACAAAGAGGAACTTACTGCTTGTTGTGAAGTTACCCTCCCCAGCCTGGGGAAAGGAGTCTACGTCTTGGATTACTTGTAGTACTCCCACAGTCCGCACCGGGGGATCCAGGGCTACAGAGCTCTCGTTCACTGTAATATCGCTGGCTCCTGTTATCTGGTTGGTTGGTGGTCCTCCTATGGAGGCTTCCAAGTCTGGAGGTATATCGTCCATACAATCTGCGTTGGGCTAATGGGAAAGGAAAGAAGAAAATCGAGCTTTTACTTTACAAAAACATTTAATACACCTGCTCTCACTTTTTCACTTTTTCTTAGGCCCACTGCTCCTACTGCCACTTTCTCGATTCCCATGGAAGTGCTTACAAACAAGAACTGAAAATGGCAACATATGATGAATGAACATGCACAGTTGGCAAGCTTGATACAATCTGTTGCAAGAGAGACCCAAAGCACGCATTAAAAATATCCACTGCCAAACTCCCAATCACGGCCTCTACCATTATTTGTACTGAGAGGTTTTTGGGAACATGTAAATTGAAAAAGTAGTGCACTTATTGATACGGTCTCTCAACACAGGCAGACTGCTGAGTCAGATTATAAATGTAAACAGACAGTAGCTGAAGGGAGATGATCACTGTTTCCCTAAATATACATTTTATAGAGCAGATATCGGAGCTTCCAGGAATAGGAATTCATGGGAATTGCCTGTGGGCAAATTTACATGTGAGGTGCAAAAAATAGAAGCCAAAGCTGCTGATAAGACACCTATTTTAAAATCACAAGATTGTCCCCTTTGCTAATGCTACATTTTCCACATAAATAGAATGATGAGAAAACAAACAAACAAACAATATTGGAAAACTGAAAACTCAGTCCAGATTCTTCCTTGGTTTGTGATTCAAACACCAGGGATGGAATCCAGACCTGCGTAATTTCTTCTCTTTTGCAGTTTTATATGAACATGACTATTCATACAGAATGAGCCAAGCTCTTCAAGCCAGGTGTTTAAATTTTCACTGAGCTAACAAGGAAGCAATGCATTGTGCAGCTTTTGCACTGCATCCTTGGCATGAGAGTACCTATTCAGGAAGAACACTGAGATTTCAAGTGAGCACCAAGAGGCAGGAAGAATTGTTTGTCCAGTAAGAAGACTGCATCCAAGCTGAGGACTTAAAGCAGTAAGACTAATTTCTACCCTTGATTTCTTTATGCCAACCCAATCAAGATCAGATGCTCCCATTCATATATCAGCAACTACTATGGAGTTCTCCATTTACAGTGGTGAAAAACACAGAGGGAAAGAGCCTTCTGAAACACATTCTTGTGCCACTAGCCCACTCAGGAAGATTTAGTTCTCCCCAAGGCACAGAGAAAACATTTTGGCATAACTATTGCAAGAATTGGGTTTGAAGTTCTGATATACTGCAAAAACAAACAAACGAAAGGTTAATTCAGAAATGAAGGTACTGTATGTTAGGGTACAAAACCTTTAAATTGACAAAGGAGCATCGCAAGGTTGAGCTACTGTTATGTAGATACCTTGCTCAGTTAGGAAACGTGTGAAGTTAAGTTGCTCCCATTTATGTTTATTGCCCAGGAATCAGACAGATAATCTGGATTAGTCATTTAGGCTTACTGTAACCTGAATGACCTGAAGGTAATTTTGCCACGTGATTTCTTCCCCTCAATGGCAAGTGGTGTGAACGGCCCACTCTACCTTCCTACTGATTACCACTACACACAGAGGGGGTTTAAACCGCTAGACTGAAAATTCTGTATTTGGAGGGCTCAAGTCAGAGGAGATGAACTCTGCTCTGTGAACTTGATTTTCTGCTATGCTCAGGTATCTCACATGCTAAGGCACGTGTGTCCAAACTTTTGGCTTGCCTGGGACACTTTGAGGAAAGAGAAACTGTCTTGGGCAGCATATACATAGATCAGCCTGAAAGTAATGCCTCCTATTTATTTCCATGGAAAGGACAGCAGATACAAAGAACACAAGAACATTAATAGAGGATATCCTCAGGTACATAACACTTTTTCAACACAGCCACTACCATTAGCTATGCATTGCTGCCAGTGATGAACAAGAGACTGCGCGCCACGCTCACCAAAATCTGCACCAGCAGAGGTGCTGCCACTGCTGAAACGCACCACCCACCACCTCACTCTGCTCACACCCATTGTTAGGTCTCCAGAAGCATTCAGCAAGTATCAATGAATGTCGATGGGTGCCATTTTTTCCACAAGGAGGAATTAACACACGTTTTCTTCATACCCACTTCCATGTCAGATGCCATTGAGGCAGAGGGCCCCTCTGCTGCCAGCTATTGCACGGCGAAAACACAGAATGGGATGTTGATGGATGTGGGGCAGGGTGCAGCCACAGGTTGGACATGCCTGCATGAAGGCATTTCTGAAAATCTCACTACCTGCCTGCCTCCAACATCAGGCATCTAGAAACTAAGCAACATATACAGCAAAAACATAAACAGAGGCTTAGCTTTAAGCACAAGAGTAATCCCTTTGAACGCACAAGGTTACCATATGCTGGATTGTTTTTTGTTTTTATTTTTCAGAACCAGGAACTTAGCATGTTTTCTCCCCTCCCATACATTCCCTGTCTGATTGTTGGGCCCCTCAAGACTATTTTTCACAAATGCTCCTGATGAAAAAGACAGGAATTTTACATAACCCCCAGATGATTGATATCCACAAGCTGAAATTTGGGATAAAAATTAGAATTGCCATAGTCAGGCTCCAGCCTAATCCACAGGCAGGGAGAGCTCCTTGCAGCTGGGGATAAAGGCATGTTTGGATATACCTAGCTTTAATGGAACCCACGGAACCTGTACTTTCCTAAGTGAAATACCAGTTATTTATCTGAAACGTTCATTAGATCTATCACTCTTAGCTGTTGAAACAAACGTCTTCAGAATTTCATTTTTAAATGAGATTTGGCTTTGAGGGCAACGTACCTTAAAGAAAAAAGAACTGTTTTATTTTTCTACTGCAAGAAAAATGATTTCTAATTTTTTTCAAGGGATTGGTTGTCTATCCTTTGCTCTGATTCCAGCTATTCCTAGAATGGGGTTTTATCGCCAACTTTTAAACCCTTAAAAACAGGGGATTATAATTGAAAGCCAAACCAAACATTAAAGAATCTAAAATAATGCTTCTCAATATAATTAATCCCTTTACTCCCAAATGATTCTGGTTGGAAAAAACACCCCCGATTAAGCGGCATACTATAAAATCAATGGTACAAAACACTGATAGAAAAAAATATATTCTGGGTTTTGCTGTTAGAGTGACCCAGATACATTTTCTAAGTTTAATTATATTGGTTTCACTCATTACCTGCTTGTAAGTGCTTTGAGGGCACAATTCCACTACAGTCAAGGGAAGGCTTTGTATTGACTTCTGAGCTCTTGGCTAAGGATCTTAGCGAATAGCTTCAAGTCATCCAATCCACTGCCAAAATGCAACTGTCTGCATATCCAGCAGATATTTGCAGAAAGGAAGGAGAAGCAGAGGGAAACTATTCTATGTGGTACAATCACCCCAAAAGCAGCGTAGGTCTTCGAAACTGAAAGACACTTCCACTGATTATTTACTTAAAATACTACAGCCAGAAGAAGCAAAGCCTGTGAGTTGGCTACGCCAGCAGAGATAGTAGAAAAGGTTACACCAAATGTTTGCTGATAGATATTTAGTTAATTATCCTCCTGAGCTGCAGTGAAAAGCTGGGATGTTTGAGTGCTCAGCTACTGTGAAAATCAGCACAGTCACTCTGGTGCTTCACTGCAGCTGAAGAACCTGGTTTTAGGGCAGACGATCTGAAGCCTTTGATACAAACTAAACAGAGAGTTTAGATGTGAACTAAATTGAATTTTTTTTTTTTTTAACTTATCATTTTCTGGAAAATCCTGGGTCTCCCTGCTAAATGAAGCACGATCAATCCCAAGTTGCACAAGCCAGCTCTTTAACAACCACCATAGGACAAACACACAGTTGGCAGGAAAAAATGGTAACAAGCCTGCCTACGGTAAGATTTTCTCATTCCTCCCATTGTACAAGCCTGCAAAGGATTTGGGCCATTTATGCTCAAGCCTCCCAACAGAGCCTGCTGCTTGCCTAAGGCTTCTTTTCTCTGCGTGGAAATTTCAGCTAAGAAGGCTCAGCAAGACTCAAGAACATGGTTAGGGAATGGCATTTTGCTTTATCCGCTCTACAGAAACGTTTGCCACCTCTCGCTGAGAAGCCCTAGAGCTTTACAGCTTCTTCCTGGGAAATGTCTTCTCCAACAACAGCCTACTGACATCTAGATAAATCATGAGCCTCTGAAAAAAATCAGTTCATGAATGCTGATAGAGCCTGGTGCCTTATTTGGGACTGATGACTGCAGGCTTTCTGCAGTGATGGGAAGCTCCCCATGGCAGCAGAAAGCACCACACAGGAGCAATGTCCTCCTGGGCCCACCCTCAGCTGCTACCCACAAGGAGAAGGGTGAAGATGCACAGTTTGTGAGCAGCTGGAGAAAGGCCCTGGGAGCTGAGCAGTGACACTGGGCAGGAGGGGCTACACAGAGGAGAAGTAGGCACAGGAGAGGATTAAGAGTTTAGAAAGAAAAGGCAGAGAAAACCTAAGAGCACCAACTGATAACAGAACAAGCTAAGGAACTTTTAACTGAAATTAAAAAACTAAATTCTTCTGAGCAAATTCTGCTATGGGTACATTAATATTCAAGCATCTGATTTTACTGTTCAGAGGTTGGTACTGAAGTTGACTGAAATCTTCATTTGACATGGCTGTATATGTGGATTACAACCGTATCCTTAATTACAAGAACAGCAGAGTAATTTCCACAAAATTCCATGTGGGAAGCCCTCACTGAGGAAAACAGAACAGATCCCACTTCTGCCACACAATGTAGAAAGAACAAGACTGGGAGTTGTGAGAAGTAACACAAAGGCCTTGTGAACTGAATGGTGCTTTAAATTATTCCTGACAATTAAGTTTGTAGAATCACAGAAACATAGAATCATAGAATGGCCTGGGTTGAAAATGACCATAAAGATCATCACGCTTTGACCCCCTGTCATGGGCAGGATCACCAATCACCAGACCAGATTCCCAAAAGCCACATCCAGCCTGACCTTGTATGCCTCCAGGGATGGAGCATCCACAACCTCCTTACCTGCTGCTACACAGCTGTTTGTGTATAGTAAAGCCACTCATGAAAATCAAAACTTTCACATGCGGCCTCTAGGCATGGTCTTCCTCCTCTTGATGTATCCAGCCTCAGATAACCTGATTTGCAGACATGCTTGGCCTTCAGCAGCTGTCAGTGAGGTCTCTGAGAGTCCTTTCTGGATGTGAATACTCACTGAAGGTACTGAACTTTCTGGAAAGACTGAAACATCTCACTGCAGTTTGGTGGAGGTCTGTGTTCGTATTGGTAATGAAGCAAAAATACCAAGAGGAATGGACTGCCCTGAGAGCAGGAATTGCATGCTATCGCATATGTGGAATAAAGCCATGGGAATTATGCTAGGTATATCGAAATCCTGGGTAATTTCACTGGCAGGTCTATGAACTGTGATATGGAACTGGGGAAAAAATTCTGTATTAAAACCTGCAGAGAGCCATGCTGAATGGCACCGATCCTTTTGTTATGTCTGAAACATATTTAACAGTTCTATCATCTTTCAGTATTTCAAAGATAATATACACTTACAGAAGAAAAATTATCCCAACTGTAACGATGAGTTACACTAGCTACAATGCTTTATGTCATTCTTCCACTGCATTTTTAGCTTGGATTATGTTAGGTTGACTAACACACTTGCCTCCTCCTGTAAAAACAAACTTCATCACATGCCATAAAGCTTTTTCTGCAACAACCTGTCCCTTGTGTCCACAAAACGGATCTTCTGAGGCATGGCCACATCAGCTTCCCTGATATGTTCTTATTATGTGTTATACTTTATATAACTCTTTCATTTGTCAATTGGCATGTCACCAACTGGAGAGGGTATCTAAAGCACCTGTTAACGTATTGAACATATTCAGTATTGAACTTCACTGACACATGGCAAGGCTCACGCACTGCAAGAAAATGACTCACTGCTTCCTGGATAAGCCCCTGATCTCTGGTAACTGCAGTTAGGAAACTGTATGGCAGACAGGATATGCACTGAGTGGAAACATACAACCTAAAAAGATCAATTGTTTTAACTGATTCTAACCACATCGAAATGTACTAAACAATAAAGAGCTCTACCATTTCTTATACGGCATGTGGTCTGCCACATATTTAGTTACTGGTAGAAATCTTCCTAATTGGAATTAGCAGTACAGAGCTTGCCACAGATAAACTTCAAGAGAAATCAGACAGAAAAGAGATTGGCCTTCCTAGATAAAGTCACTAGCTGTCCTCGACTGGTGTATCAGGGAAAATTTTAACTGTTTATCTTCTGCTTTGAGATTTAAACTCAGTGTGGGATTGTAAAAATAAATCAAGCCCTGATTTGAAACATAAATAAAAGCAATATGAAAGAACACAGATCCACCTGAACACCAGTAAATGATACCCTGCTCCACAAACCGGGCAAGTGAACACATTAACCCCAATAAAGACTGTTCCATGGTAACATAAGTGGGGTGAAGGAGAGGCCCAGACCAGCTTCTATTATCCTTAGTAAATTAATTAACACATCAATAACATGGTCAGAAGAGTAGGATGGGAGCAGACAGGAATAGGTCTGGGGATGCACCCACATGGCTGATGCTCCCTTTTTGCCCAAGACAGCTCCCCTGTGAAGTGCTTACCGGGATCCCTAGAGCTTTTAAAATATTCATTTTACACATAGGGCAGGTACGATGGTCTAGCAGCCAGGGGTCTACACAGGACTTGTGAAAAAGATGCCTGCAACGAAAAACAAGATACTTTAATTCAAATCCACAACAGCACAATTTAACACTTAACACCAGATGCTTTTCCTGAATTCAGTAAGTGCAAGCTTTTCAAATAGTATGGTTTGTGACTTGTGCAAGGACTGCCAGACTAAATCCTCTGCAGACAAGGCTTTACAATGATTTCTGCAGCGTGTCAAGCATGTGTGCAAAGTATTACTCAATTGACCTTGGAAAAGAAAATGTACACGATTAGACAACTAGGAAAAACACAATAAATTAGTAGCAAAACACATTACTTAAATGTTAAACACCGTCAAGTAAGCAAAACCTACTACAGGTGAAATCATGTGAATTTCTTGATGGTTCCGCAAACAAATCTGATTACATATTACAGAAAGATTAAGCCACTGGGGCCTGGTATTATTTTTAAGGATACAGACATAAGGAAAACAAGTGAAATGAATAAATGTATATCTTCATTTACATGGAAATATCAGGATGATGCCTTTTAAAGTATGGTCCCTGACTTCCCTGCTCTTTCTAATTTACCCAATGGAGTGAGCTCCTACACAATTCCAGCCCTGAAGGGATTGTTCCTAAACCCATGCTTCATCTGAAGAGACCACTAAGCAACTACCTGAGACTCATGGCTGCTGCAGGGCATGGGTTTATATATTTATATATACATATAAAACCATATATATTTATAACCCAGGCAGAGGAACTCAAAATTATTATCTAACTTAGCCTGACAGACACTGAGATGGAACACGGAGATACTTAGTGCATGAACCTGACAGCTGTATTCTCTCTTGTGAGCATATTCTGTTACATTGTGGTTATCAAGGATGAATGTTACAAAACACAGGAAAATGGGGCTTAGGATTTAAAAACCACTCGTGAGGAGGTCAATTACAGCAGCTGATGCTCAGCATAAGGCAGAAAAGTTCCTCTCTCGCTTCTTTCTCCTTTTCTTTTAATTCACAGGCAGCATATTTGGGCTGACATATTTGTGCTCCACTAGCTTATGTAATGCACCTATTACCAATCAACAGTGCTCTGTGGCTTGGGATAGTTCGTTCTCAGCTCCTGCAGAAAATGAGCAAAATTTCCTACCACATTCATAGCCTCAGAAACTACACTGATACGTAGGAAAATCTTTTCAAAACAATGAATAACCTAAGCAAAACTGATGGTATTTTATTTTGTAATATGAAGATCAATATACACAGACTTTCCCAAGAACGCTAAGACTTGCTTTAAAATAACATGTATATAAGCTCTCATTTCCCCAAGGCCTGTAACAGGCGTCCCACATCTTAGTTAGCAGAGCCTGAAAGATTTCAGTCTGTTTGAACTTTCACATTTGAGAACAGGCAGGCAGAGGCTGGAGATGGCTGTCACAGCCAGTCACACCGCTTGCCATCCAAGCCACCAGGTATCAGCGGGGGGGCACAGGTCACAGCTGCCCAGCATGCTACCTGGAGCAGGGGCTCAGCAGCACACACAAGCCTCCAGCAAGAAATGCAATCTCCGAGAAAGCCAGGCTCACTAAGTGCACCCAAATAATTTTAAATATTTAAGTGGTACCCATTCAGCTGAATGGGTTGGCAGCTGTATCCTGTCGCAGACTCTCTCACATAACAAGGTACGCGCAGCCTGTCAGCCTGATGGAAGACACTGAGGTGCTCTTTCCTCTATATCGATTTGCAGCCATAGCTCACAGTAACATGTGGCAGCCCACACCGTCTGGTGCACTAGCTGACTTCAGTCCTGATGACTCTTGCAATTCAAAGCCACAGCCATGTGAAATCTCAGAATCTTATTCTTTTCTCTTCAATGCTGTCCTCACTGCTTCTAAAAGAGACAACTCCCTTGTGGAAAAAAAAAACACCAAAAACCTCTGTGGCAAATTGTCGCTTTGCTGTACTTGGTCTGACTTCACACAGCTATGGGAAAGGGCAGATCTGTTCTTGGAAGTTTGACCTGTCTAATTATATCAGTTGGCTGTGATACGAAACTTTGTCACTTCTCATCTGATCCTGTATGTCAACATGATTAACACAAATGGAGTATTGTGATCCTTCAAGTTTAAGCCACCACTTGACTAATGCTACTGCAGTTCACAACCCTCCTTCAAAACAAGGCTTGCCTGACCAGATAAAAACACAATGCACTGAATTCCCATTTCTGCCCTGCATGACTCTGCTTTTTATTCCAGCAGGGAGACATCCAATGCACCATCAGGCAAGCATTTTCAACGACTCCAAGTGCAATGACACAGGGACGTGCAATTTTACATTCAAAAGCCTAATCTACATAAACTGCATGATTTCATGCAGAGTATTGAAAGTACATGCCTTGTTTTTCGGCTGTATGGAAAACAACACAAATCTTCATAGCAGTTGGCTCTCTTCAAATGTGTACTCACATCTATAAATACATATGCTTAACTGCATGGATGTGAAACACATTGTGCCAAAATACAAATACAAAAACCCTGAGATTTATGTTCTTGAAAAAAAAAAGAAAAAGAAAGAATTACAAAACCTGTTTTGGATTAAAAAAAAAACAAAAAACAACAATGTAGCTTCTATCAAGCCATTTTACTGTAGACTAGAAAGTCCTCTTTGGTTTCTAAGTTCAACCTTTGTAAGCTTCAGTCAAGCTGTGGCTCATATTACAGCATTTCATAATGCTCATTAATCAAAAAAAGCTTGGAATTTTCATGCCTCCAAGACTTCACAGACTGAAGTTTAGCATTTTTAAAGTTGGCTTCAACAGCGACATTATAAAAGAAATCCTACCGATGCTGAGTAATTTAAACACGTGACAGATCATTTGGCACCTCCCAATAATACATTATTAGGGCTCCATTAATTTTAGATTTAATATGTACAATAGAAGGATCTTGATTATATGACAAAAATGGAATGCTACTGAAAATCATTTTTTAAGATTTGTACCACATTATACGATGTATGATTATTCAATTTGAGAGTTTGTATTAGCTACAAGCAAACATTTTTGTGCGGAATTCAAAAATCACAGAATCATGGAATGGCCTGGGTAAAAAAGGACCACAATGATCATCTGGTTTCAACACCCTGCTGGGTACAGGCTCACCAACCAGCAGACCAGGCTGCCCAGAGCCACATCCAGCCCGGCCTTGAATGCCTCCAGGGATGGGGCATCCACAGCCTCCTTGGGCAACCTGTTCCAGTGTGTCATGAAGTTACTGATTGATAAACGTCCTGATGAGTTTACCATCTAAATCCAGGTAAAATAAGAATCTGTACAAAATAAGATGAGGGTGTAACTATAGTATTTCAGCCTAAATCCTAAACCGTAAAATGATCAACTGCATTTCTGCCTGATTCAAATTTTAAAAAGGAGAAGGTAAAGGCATTACGGTTGAGTTCAGAATTAATGACCCATACACAGAGGCAGTAAGAAAGATGTTTCAAACACAGGCTAGGAAAACGGCTTTGATAATTTAAGTCATAGCTGCAGAAAAGATGCTTTTTGTGTTCTGCTGTGTGCAACCACATCCATTGCAAAACTATGTTGGTTTGGATGGGTTGAGAAGATTCTGAGAAGGACTGTAATTGATTAGTTGAGAGAAAAGAAGGCGAGAGGAGAGATGTCATAAAAATCCTCATACAAGACAAAGGTTTCCATAAGCAGAAAAGAAACAAACTGTTTTTCACCTCTCCCAGGGATAAGAGACACAATGATGTGTTTAAATTGCAGCAAGCGAGATTCAGGTTACACAATAGGAAAAGCTTCATCACTCTCAGGGTGGCAAAGCACTGTAATAAATTACAGGGAGAGTCTGCAGAGTCCTCATCCTTGGAGGCTGCAGTGTGTTGGAAAAATAACTCCCAAGAACGACACGTGTGAGGCCAGTGCCACAGCACCCTGGGGTGGGTGGCCTCCTGGGATCCCTCCTGCCCTGCTCTGTGCCTGCACAAGGCTGTGTACAGCTCACATCAACCAAAGTGAGGAAAAGTACCTCAAAAATCCCACAACACTGCATTTACAGCTATCTAATTAGCACTTGTTTTATTTGTTAACTAGAGATTATTTGTGTCTGAAATGCAATTCACGTTTTCTTTAAAGCTGCAACTTCAAACATACAACAGAAAAAAGATATTTATTTTGGGCTCAGCCCAAAAATTGTAATAATAACTTCATTACAGTAAAACTCTTGCAAAGCTTCCAACTTGCCAACTATTTAAAAAACCTTTTTTCCAGGCTAAAGAGGACTGTTCTCCTACCTTCCTGTTCCAGTTCCAACTTTCCAAAGCACATGCAAACAAACCTAGCAGTCACTTGGATTGGGTTTTTTTTCCTGAATAAAAGCATAAGCTACAACAAAAAGAGCCAAAAGCAGAAAGACACATTCCCAGAGACATGGACTAAGAGCATCCCTTGCTCAGCCCTACATCAGATGTCAGGCTGCAACAGAGGACTGAGAAGGGCTTTGATGAAGGACTGAGCAGCACTGAGTACCTGGCAAGTAGGTTTCAGCTTTTGGGGATGAATATGAGTTACTGTTTGTTTATTCCTAAGGTAGAAGAAGCAAGGACAAAGGGACACGATGATGAGCGTATCTGAGAAAATGGAATAAAAAAAGAAGTGCTGTAATGAAATGATTTTCACAGGAGGCTAATGAAAAGGGAGGGAAGGAGTGGAACAGTCTGTGAGAACACAGTTGTTCACTGGAGGTTCAGAGGAGGCGTGTGAGCTGTAACAGTATCTGTTGGTGACAGAAATGGAACAATCTGAAAAAGAGGTTATGAAGAAATAGAAAGTTCTCAGTAGAGACGAGGCTGAAAGAGCTGTCCTATCTCTCTGTTCAAGTGCAGGAAAGAAAAGTTTAGCGAGAGGCAGACAAAGGGAACAGCAGCATCAGTGATTTCTCCAAAGAACGGCAGAAGAGACGGGAGTTTTGAAGCTGAAGATGGAAGACAAGCAGAAGGAAGTAGGGCTGCGATAAGAGAAGTGACTCAGGGAACAGTGAACTTGCTTATATTTGATGTTGTGTCAGGGCCCTCACTGTGATGCTCACTACCACTTCAACGTAAAACCAGCTGCAAGCCAACACTTTCTTCACTATCAAGAGTCAGTAAGTATTTATTTAACACACTATAGAGTGAGGTTTATTAATACAGTCAGTTGTGGGAGTTGGCTTCTAAAGAGGAAAGAGAGGAAGAAGCACAAGTTAACAAGAATTCTCCTCGCAGCTCTCCAGCAGAAAGAGGACATCTGGGAAATCAGCCTCAAGTACTAGGAAATATCATTTCATACCTCATTCACTGAAATCCAATGGATTTCCGGTACCAATTTCTGAGCAGATTCAGGACTCAGAAACCTTAAAAGAAATACAAAGATATACAGCACTTCATACTGAGCGTGTCTGCTAGCCACAGTTTTCCCAGTACAGCCTGCAGGACAAAGCAGCTCATCTCAGGGTGCATGTGGCTATGCAAGTGTTGCATCCTGTGTAACTCCTGGATAGAAACACGAAGGTCAGCCAGCATGGTGTTGGCTTCTGTAAGACCTGGTGAAATGCCAGCCTCTTATTAAATGCCAGACTAATGCAGATACTGTACCAGAACTGAAGTGAAACCTCTGTTTAACTGAGGATGCTGAAGGAAGAAACCTTCAGTGCCTGTAGGCCTTCATCAAGATATATAAAAAAAAAAAGTGCTCTCCTACTCACTTAACAGGGTCCGCTAAGCAGCTGCTTGAGAAAGATCTTTCAGTTTTTATAATTCAAAATCGCTTAGACTCAAACTGTGAGCATTTTACAAGACAGATCTGCTGCTGTTAACCTTTTAGCATGAGCCATTTTCTAGGCGACCTTTTAAGTCAGCCAAGAACTGAACATCACCTGTTAACTATGTGTTTCCTATTCACTCTGCTTGACTCAACACTGTGCATGATGAAGTCTGACTGGAATTGAATTATGAGGCAAGGCACAAGTGAAAGCGAGAGCTTAGACATTTTTTTTTGCGCTGTGTAACCACTTCTGAAAAGTGCCTGTCCCTATCACGTTACATTTCCTAACTTTATTATCCTTTACAAAAACAAGCTTGATGTCAAGCCAAGGTCCACGTTTTTTTGCAGTTTCTCTTTTTTCTTTCCTATTTCTGCTTCATGAACTATTTGCGGAAAAAAGAAGAGTTCATATGCAGTTTGTCATTGTGGGGGATTTAGAGTAGGTCAAATTTATGATTAATCCATTGCTTTTTGTTTGCCATTTAGCAATGGCAGTAAACAGATTAATGACTCACATGAATGAATACAAATGGACAGCTTGTTACATTCAAATATCTACTAGGGAAAAAACACAGTAGGAAAAGAAACAAATATTTCACTCTTTCAAGCCAGTAAACATGCCTTCAGTAGAAGAAACACTAAAAAACTAGGCTCTGTATGTACCACATCTGAGATCACGGTTTCTAGGGAAATAAAACGCTTGATCCTCTTCTCCTAAGGAAACCAGTGTTTATAGGAAATATCTTAAGAAAATGATTTCCTTTGAGGTATCTTTTGTTAGCTGACATCCCAAGGAAGACAATACAAAGGTACAGAGAGGTGAAGACAGCTCTTATCGCTGGCAAGAGGCTGCACTCCTGCATCACATCACTGTGCATGCACACTTCGTTGGGCATGTTCACACAAAGGGGTGAAAAGAGAAAGGAACAACCCTAAAAGCTCTTCTTGTCACCTCTATATCCCACATGTCTGGGAATACATCCATGGCAACAATAGACAACATCATTCTCTCAGCACTTGGTCCTGGCACAGGACAGCATAAGAATTGCTAACTTCTGTCGGTTAGCCTGCTCTATTCCTGGCTGCCACTCCTAGGCCTCACCTTCAAGTCAGAAACAGGTTCTTCTAAAGGAGTTATTCTGGACTAATGTCAAACCAGTGAGAAAAATGGAGGAAACATCATAACCTTTGGTTTAAAATTCTAATGAAAACTTTGTAATATACCCAGATCCGACACAATTTCTGACTATCAAGCTAAATTCAGGTTTTTACCACCACTTAATGTTATTTTCACTTCAAGTAAAGAAAGAATCATTTCAGATATCTTTACAGAATAGATTAGCAATAAATCAAAGCAATTGATTTCCCAATCTCTCCCTGGCTCTCAGGAAACCTCAGAGCGATACTCTGAGAACAGAGCATAACTTGTGAAACAGACAGACAATCAGAGTTAAAAGCTCCTTCAACCTTCAACTTACCTGCAAGGTAAAATTCTGACAACATCGTTGGGTTTGTAGCCTTCAATACAAACAGCACAGTTATCAAAGTCTGCTTCAGTTTCCTACAGGAAAGAGAACATCATTTTCATTTTTGATTTTGTCAGCTAATCTCTTCAAAGAGTCTACGTGACAAAATAAAACAGTCCCTGATGCATGCTGCATATTCAGTAATGCATTTCAAGAAAAGCAAGTCAGACTTTCAGACATACCCTGTTAGAAACTTTCCCTGGGAATCATGCAGACATAGGTAGCACGTTTGAACTTTCAGGATTTTCTGCATCTCCACATTACACCTCCTCCTCTCCCGACTCCATTCCTCCCACAAATTACCAGAATTCCTCCCCTACCTAGAGGACACGTGAGCTTAATAAGCAACTGCCACTTCTGTTCTGCCTCTTCATCCTAGTGGTTGGAAGGAATACTCAGTGCAGTGATTCATTTGGTAATGAGCAATTGAAAAAATTACCTTATCACCTTTCCTGATTGTTCTGACTTGCAGCTTGCTGATTGCTTTCTTTGCAGCATCTCCAAGCCGGCGCTGTAATACAAAATGTGCTCTTAATCAAAGAGTAGCTCTTCATGAAGAATTCATTTTTCCTCCTTACATTTCTTAATAATCTCAAGTAACTGCATATGAAACCAGACAGTTCTGTATAAATGTGAACAGATGAGGTCAGTCATGATGTTATTCAGAATAAGTGCACAGTAGGTATTTTAGGCTTCTTGGTACCCCATGGCTGATGAAGCAAAGCTATGTTAATTCAGTTCCAGAGAGGACAGCACATGAGCCTCTTGTGATACCACACTATGGCACCTATACTATTTCAGTGAGTAGCAATGTACTTAACAAGTCTGCTGTTTTGGTATCCCACTTCTTTCCTCTCCTTTTTTTAATCACATTTGCAAAAAGTACATTTTTAAATGAGGCCTGGGCTGTTAAGCTTAATGAATGCTGGACTTAAGATCCAGGAGGTCTTTACTCTTACTTTGTTCCACGATCAATTCATGACACTCAGTAAAATTTAAGTATTGCAATTGAGGTGATAATTTTTTCATCAAGACGAACACAAATTATCTTTACTGTTTTTTTTCTTTTTCGTTTTTTCTACTTCATAGAAGTAACACAAGGTGTAAAAATGAGACAAAAGCATCTGCAACTTCTTACAGGTAAAATAATATATAGTCTGATAGAACATCATATTCATACCTAACAGTTTGCTTTTTCCTTTCCTTTCACTATAGTGACCACAAATCGCTTAACATGTGACATTTCTGTTCCCCCGTTTTTTCAAAACACTGTTACTGTGCTGGCTGGGCCAACGTCGCTCAAGATTAAAGCAACAGCTGATGCAAAACACTGTTCTCAAAAGCTGAAGATAAGGCTAAGAATGATATGGGGCAGTTCCCACAATCGCAGCTCCGTGGAGCTACTTCTGCAGGCTTCCAAGCTTGTGCCTGCATCAGCACTCCCAGGGCTTGGCTGCTCACTGTGCTAACGCAACAAGGAGACTGGGCAACAAACTCACAGGCTGGAAAGGTCTCAGAGAGGTCACGAGCTCCCACCCCCTCTTCAAGGCTGGGTCAACTTCAAAGTCAGACCTATGTCCAGTCAAGTTTTGACTATCTCCAGGAAGGGAGATTTCACAACCACTGTGGATAATTTGTTCCAGTGCTTCACTGCTCTCACAGCCATTTTTTTTTTGTTTTAAATCATTATTACAGAAGTAAGATTTCCCTAGCTACAATTTGTGACTATTATCTTTGTCCTTTCTCTGTGCATCTCTGAGAATAATCTGACACTGCCTTCCCTCCAAGCATGCGCCGTGTCACCAGAGGCTGCAGGCAGAGCCCTCAGCCTCCTCCTCTCCCAGTTTACTAAATGAGATTCCCTCCACCTCTTCTCACTCGTTGCATCCCAGAACATACTGGCAACCCTCCTCGGGGCTCTCTTCAGTTTCTTCTTGCTTGTCTTGCACAGGATCACACAGCACACCTACTCCCACGACATCCTGTTAGTTTTATAACAGTGCGTTCCAAGTTGCTACCCATAAATGACTTCAACTCATCTTCTCGCCCCCTTTTCCCACCTAGTTTCCAGCCATGTGCAGTTAGTTAGGCGGGAGATTTAGGAGCTCTGGTGACTCAGAAGACACTCAACTTTCAGAGCCGGGAATACTGCCTGTGCTGGAATTCTGAGGGCACGTCAATGGGAAAGGTTTCCAGCTGGAGAGGCGAGAGCTTGAAGCCAAAAATGGGAGGAAGCTGAACGTTGCCTGTAAATTGAGACCTCATCACCACAGAGATATGATTAATGAATTACTACTTTGTTCTTTGGATTCAATTAAAACCACTATTTAATTTACAGGGTGAGTTTATTGGATTGGAAAGACATAGAACACGCGTAATCCTGAAAGCAGCGAGCAATTTCAGGCCTGGCTAAAGAGATGAAAATGATCTTGGCTATCATATAAGATTTACACATGTGCTTCCCAGCACAGCTAATTATTACGTGTGAGGGAGTTCCTTCTAGTTACATATCTTTCCTGTGGTACATTTTTCTCACAGTCTCCCTTCAATAAACAGATGTGACAAGAGCTGGAAGCATTTCTTGCCAGCTATTTGTTTCTTCAATGTAAATCAAAGACAGACTGATAACACAGAGCAAGACAAGAGCCATTGCACCCTGCTCCAGGAACTGCTTGTGATTCCTTTTTATCATTATTACTTAAACTAATGAAATATTTCAGCTCCTTTTTTTTTGCACATTCTTCAAGGGGACATGACAAGATTAAAGACTCATGTACATCTTTGATCTGCTTGTTTTCGTGTTTGCTTTCTCTTGTCTATCTTAAATAGTCAAGCTCATGACTTAAACGCAAATAAGATTTAATTTCTGAAAGAACTTGGAGCAAAGTTGTACTTCCAAAGATTCTTCTATTTGAACAAAAGGCAAGCTATAACCAATCATTGTCCCTAGAAGATAAGAGGCATTATAATAGCTTAAGGGTTTAAAATGAAGCTTAGAGATTTATAATCATAAACCCCATTATCTCATTAGCAAGCCTGCAACACTCGATATTGGACTGGAAGGAGTTAAGAGTATCAGATGCAGTGGTCTTGTGGAGATGATGCTACTATATAAAAAGAAAGGACAGTAGCATGGAAAGCATCACTCATCTGTTCCTGAGGAAGTAAATGACAGAAGACTGTTTCACATACGATGCCTCTCTCCAATGGCCCAAAACTCTCACAAGAACTCATGACCACCTGTTTTCTTCCTCAGAGAACTGCTGGACCCTCCATACGCTGTGTCAGTTACACACTAAACTAGATTCTTCCCTGGATCTAATGCAGGACTTGCACGTCCCGGTGGAATAACTGCCTGCTTTGGCTTTTGCCATCCTGCAAAAACTATGGAGCTCACTTGGTTTCAAAATGATTTCCCGTAAAACTTCTTAACAAGAAGCAAATGGGAAGAAACAACATGGAAGAAATCCTGCCAACAGATGTGGAACACAAATACCTCCTGTTTGCTCTCTTCCTATCCCATGGCTCACAGACAACAGAAAGGGATCTCTGACCTCAGGAAGAAACACTACTGGTGAAATATGAACTGTGTGACACACTGATGTGATATTTTACTTTTTAGAACCTGTGTCCTGGCTACTACAAGGCTAAGATGGCAAGTCACAGTTTGCAGAATGACCTCCAGGAATTCACTTGTCACGTAATTCCAAACTGCCTTCAATTAGCCCTGCCACCTGATGCTGGTAGATACAAACAATTCCCACAGTCTTTCATGGACATTGTCAGAATTCTCATTTTCAGGAGGGCCTCAGGAACAAGCTGCAGAGGAAAAGAAACAGGTTGACTACACTTTTCTTTCACAACATGATTTGCTTGATATCAAAAGAACATCACAGTGAGCATATCTACTTCCTGACCATTTTTTTTAAATGGTAAAAGAGAAATAAAACTTGGGACTTTCATGCATATGAATATTACTACCTACCTTCTACTTTCACACGTATCACACAATCACCTGCGCTAAAGACACTTTTAAAAGCTCAAAACATTATAATCAAAATTGAAACGTAACTATGTTCTCTATGACTGTAGTAAGCATGACTGTATCTGTAGATGACACCTATCTGCAGAAGTATAACCCCATTATGAAAGGCTATTTTAGGTTCCACTGCAGAAATTCCCAACTAACTTTACATTTATATGAATGGGCCTCGGCACGCGGTGGGAAGCCTTGCAGTCCTGGTTCTCCACTCAGCTAAATCAACCTAACTGGTTCTCCCTTCTGGCACGTGAACCTGGATTTTGCAGAGAGGGTGAAGGAGAATGATGGCTGAATATAGATGTGTGTGGTACACGCCCAGGTTTCATTCCACTAAGGAGTAAGAGGAGAAATCCAGGAAATTCTTCAGACTTCCTATCTGCCTGTATAATTTGCCAGAGCTGTTTTAAGTTAGTTCTTCTTGGAATTACTGACTGAACAGCAACTTCAGCTGTGTACAAGATGGGAAGCAGAGCCACTGCACACAAAAGAGCAAGGAGGCAGAGGTGGTGATGAGTCTTGACAAAGAGATGCTCCCCATTTTGCAGGAAACCAAAACATAGTTACAGTCAGTTAGCTGAGAAGAGGTAAAATGAAACGTGACCCAGGGATACACAAAGTAACCAATGAAAGATGTTCAGAAACCTTACTTTCCTATAATTCAACTTTTTCTGCTGATGATGTATTACAGTTGGTGATACAGCTGGAAAGATTATCACAGTTAAAATGGGAAAAGAAACAAACAGGGAAGGAATGCTCACCAGTATCCAAAGAACTAGGTTCGCAAGAAAGACTCCACAAATCTCCAGAAAGAGAACCTTTCCCAATGGCAGTCAGCCCTTAAATGAGGTCTAGGAGAGGTGCAGCCAGGCTCCATCCCTTTCAGTCATACAGCTGAGTTGCTTTCACCTGCGCTCCCACGGCTGACCCTTTCCCCAAGTGTCCATCAGAGGTTGAAGCCATGACTCAGTAGTTGCCATACATCATATTTTGCAGTTGGCTATCTTTTCCCCTTTCCTTAACACAGTATCCAAGCTACCAACTCAGAAGCTGGACTGCTGTTGGTAGCAGCCTCGCTGTCAGCCAGAGCTAAGAAAAGTATGCATAATGAAGTTAGCAAAGAGGTAAGTGCAAGTTCTCCTTCAACTAAGAAAATACTGGCCCTTTTAAACTTTTATTTTAATAATGGGGGTTTTAAAATCATGCGGATGTCAAAACAAATTCAACCTCCTTTTTTACTGTTATTAAAACCAAAACCTAATTAACGAGTCACAGCTTTTTGCACTTGAGCAGTCAGTGTGTAGGAAACTGGGTAGGAAACTGATGGCACAACTTTCCTTAAATAAGCTTGCTGGCTCCTTCTTCATCTGAAGCTCTGTTTATACAAACATCTCAACCTTACCCTTTGGATTAACTTTAACTAACAAACAGAAGAAAGCTCCCTTCTTAATGTTGGCCAGCAATGAAGGCGCTTACAACAAATAAGCACGACACCTTCATACAGATAGACAAATGCAAGCTAGAATGGCAAAAGCTTTTGAGACAAATGACAAAAGAAACACGTTCTAAACTATATCCCAAAAAGCGACAGAACACATTTCTCTTGAATATATCTGAATTTCTAACTTTGTGCTGCCATCCTCACATTACAAGATAACATGCTCAAGTTTAAAAAAAAAACAAAAGTTTAAAAACAAAAACAACAAAACAAACAAACAAACAAATTAGAGGAAGGAACCCTCATGAAAAAGGAAAGAGCAAATGAAGCTATTCTGACAGCTGTCTACATTTCTATACTCCATAACCAGGACTAAAAAAGTCACTAACAGAAATGGTTGAACGTTATCCAGACGCGTCACTGTTTCATAAGAAAAGACCAGTTAGGAGATTAAAAGACAGGCAAAATCGAGTGAAGAAAGTATGTAAAGAAATCCCAGTTTGTCCTGTAATAATAATTACAGCTTTGGGAAGAAAAAAAAAAAGTAACAATTGCTTAGGAGGTCTGGTTTTTTTATCCTTTTAAAAAAAAAAAAATAGAAAAAAAATTAGTATTAATAACAAAGTTATCAAAACCTCTGCACAGGATAATTCTTTGTGCACACGTTAGTCTCATTTAAACTCTGGAAGGAAAAGACTAGAAAGGAAAAACGCTTGAACACATAGACTTGTACTTCCAAACTACGATGTATAACCTGAAGGGTGCTTCTTATTTTGCTGGGTTTCATGTTTATGTATGTCTATTTACACTGCTAATCTGCCTGTATAATTACTTGATTGTAGGCACACTCAGGATATTCACATGCAGAAATCAGGCACACGTGCTTCAGCAGCCAAAGCATCTGAAAACTACCACAGCAGCTACAGCCATAGTGATTCTGCTGCCAGTGATGCTCACATTCCAGCTGGGATAGTCTCATTTTTACTATTCAGAATTTCATGATCTATGTTTAAAAGTAAAATATATTCTTTCTGTCTGTAAATACAGAGCAGAGCTCTCTATCTCTGAGGATGCCTGAGTTTCAGTGGGAGTGGTGAGGGATCCCTATATGTGAAGTTTATGTTTGAGTGCAGCACTATTTTCTTCTACAAAACAATTGTAAACAATCCCAGTTTATTTTTTCAGCAGAGCAGGCAAAGCAGTCTTCCTCCTGCTGGAACAGGAGTTTATCAAGGGTCCAAAACCATCTCTGAATCACAGAGCATTATTTTTCCTGCAGTAAAACGGTCATCTCCTCGGATTTCAGCACTGATAACATTTCCTACTGCACCGTTAAAATGAAACGTACAAGTTTCATTTTCACAGTTCTGCTGATGCCAACATAAGTTGGATCCAGTCAAGAAAAGATGAAATTTATCATCAATATCACTACTAATAGTCGTTGCTGAGCTACTATAAAGATTATAAAAGGGTGCTTTATAAACCTGAGGACCTCAGGACCTATCACCCATTCCTACACAACGCTGCTGGCTTCTCTCCAGCTCTATAGGTTTTGTGTTTCTTTCCGGGAGCGGCTGGACAAAATGCCAAAACCAAAGGTTTAATAATAAGGGTGGCTATCACTACACCACTTACATGCTCAGTGATCAGTCAAATGAACAGGAATGTTTTTTCCTTTAAAGGCCCTTCTGAAGAAGCATGAAAATGAAAACACTTCTTTTTAATCTCCTCACATGTTGTGAAGCCTTATTTCTCATATGTACTTCCACATTCCTCATTACATTTTAGTTACCATTTTGATCATAAGGGTTTTTATTTGTATTCATTCCTCCATCCCTTGGCTATATGTAACAAACTAATCTTTTCACTAACACACATAATCATTCTTTCTGTCCGTTTCATGTGTGTTTTGCACAAAAAAGAAAATCCCACATCATACATACATTATATTCATTTGTTTTCCTTAATCCCATCTCTACTGACAGAATTCTTGACTTTCCCCATACACAGACATTTTTACATCCTCATTCTTTTCACTACTCATTATTAGATGTTGTGTTTGTTGTTTTTTCTGAACCAGACATTTATTTTCCTCAAATTTTACTTCAAGCTTATTTAAAATTGAATCCCACGGAGATTATTTTTTTGGAAACCAAGACCCTTAGCACCACTATCTCACCTGATTCCTGTCCCTAGCATTTGCGTAGCGGAATCGCTGGATGTAATAGAAGACCAGCCATGCCAGCGAGATGATCATCAGCACAATGAAGGAGATGGAGACAAACACCACGGAGGTCCGGCTGACGTACTTCTGCAGGTTTCGTGTCCCAATAGTTATATACATCATCACAGTGATGTTCCTCTCCAGGAGGCTCACTATCTCTTTTCCTTTGGGTTCAGGAATCATTATTGCTACAACATCATCGAGGCCTGTCAAAGAGGAGAGAGAAAAGAAATGTTCATTGGAACAGCTGAATACAATGTGTGGTAAGGCAATAAAGCAAAAATATTACCAAAAAAAAGCTCCTCTTTTTCATCCTGATTTTCATCAGGAGGTAAGCTGGGTGGATGCGGTGAAGTTTTCAACCAGAACCAGTTACACAGTTTGTTCCTATAAAGCTGATCTGTGAGATACATAAAACACGTTTCATGGTTTGACAAACACAGACATCCAATTCTGCTGAGGCTTATCCAGCAGAATAGTGCTGTAACCACCACAGCAAGAGAGATGTGTTGGAGCTAGCGTAATTCCCTCCAACACCCTATGCACTCATCATCGCCCATTTTGCACAGCCACAAAGCCCCTCCAAGTTTCCACTAATACCAGAGGTGCCTCCAGTCACTGATTCCTACAAGGCTGGAGGGTGAAGGCATCAAATTGTTGTTCTTTTTGCTCCAGGCCAGGGATGGGAGAGAGCTGCGGGGACAACAGGATCTCCACACATAACTGCCCTGTGCCACCAAGGCACTCCACAGCCTGAGCTCACCCAGGTGTTTACAAGCCATACTCAGAGTCAGCAGCACCATTTTATTTCCTAAAAAATGTTACCATAGGCCAGCTCAGCCCCTGACATAGTTTACAGCACACACTCCATAAGGGCATGCGTCAGCACAACCAATGTAGCAAAGGGGCTTCCATTACTAGAATGGAGTAGCATCTTCCTGCTATCCTGTCAGCCCATCTGAAGCCACAGCTCTGTGAAATTAGGCCCTTTCGTGACTCTGCATCATTTTTCCTTTATGCGCAGTGCTGGTTTTGTTTTATTTGTGTTACACGCTGCTGAAATTGTTTTACTTTCTTTTACATGCCCTCCGTACACAACAAATGAAAAAGTGAAATTGACTGGGATGAGGCAGCTTGTTAGAAGCTCTTCTAGCTCTTTGGATAAAAAGAACTCCTTTATGGTTAATATTAGGCAGATTTTCCTTTCTCTTCATTAAACAAGTGTACACAGCTGAGCTGTATTTTGCAATGGTCAAATCTGGCATTATACTAAATAGCTAAGTATGTACTTGAACACAGAAACACGCCAGATACAATAACATCTACACTGACCATGAACTGGAATTTAGAAAGGAAGGTACAAACTTGAAAGAAAGGGTTGAAGTCAGAGAGATGAAGTGGAGGTGAGTGCTTTGGCATTTCAGCTGAAATCCCAGGAGATCAGCTGGCATGCTGTAAACTCCATCGTTATCTGTATTTTGACGGTGGAAGGAAGGAAGACAAAAAGCCACCTCCTGTGGGACACTCATAGACGTGGCAAAAGATTGCCTACCAAAGCAGCAACCTGCAACCTCACAAACAGCCACAGAGTACCCACAGCAAAAACTAAACAACAACAAAAAAAATTCCACAGTTGACAAAACTGAAATTAATTTCATCAATTTCTCTCAAAAGCCACCGTTCTGACCTCCTCGCTTGTCCAAACAGCCATCTAACATCATCTGCCCTGTGATGTAGGATGTGGTGTGGAAGACATTACCTGAAAGTCCATGCTAATGGGAGGAACAGATGCAAATATTTTCAGTAAGAAAATACAGGTAGCACCTTAACTGTTAAGATTATCCTTAACCTCAAATGTCTCTTAAAACATGCTTTAACATCTTCACTATGTCTACTTAACTCAACAGAGCTCAGTGTGTTTCTGTAGAAATATATGTGATGGACAATGGCTATACATGACACACTGCACATTAAGAATCATATTCAATTAATAATGGGATTAATACACCTATAATAACAAGGATTTCACGGTAACGTCCTGCCTTCTTTCTTTAATTGCAAAGACAGACAAAAATTCTGATCTCCTGGATAAATCTGACCTCATTCCCGCTCTTCAGCACCTGCCCTTGCTGATCAAACTACAGCACAGCTTCCAGTCTTGGATTTGCTATGGAAGCATCATGAAGTGATGCTCCAATGATAAGAGTGGAACCACACGCATACCTTCTCTTCCTCGTCCTTCCATCTCATTGCTAGGATGATCTACTGCCACCTCTGGCCTACGGCCTTTCACTTTACAAAACAAACTACTAACTATATATTGCCATGGACATATGCTAAACAAAGCTGTGTTCAGAAATGCCAAGTCAGAAGACAGCTATTTGCAAGAGGCAGGCGGCTGCTTTTATTTGTTCAAACAATATATTCAAATTGTAAGCTATCTGGTTATTTTCTTGGAAAACACTACAGCTTGTAATGCAGCATTCTTGGAAAAAAAATCCAACAAAACATATCAGCAACAAATAATAAGCAGGAAGATTATTTTTAGCACTTCATTAAGTTCATGATAATTTCTCCAAGGCCTTATAGAAAGGGCTATTTGGTCAATCAAGCTATTTTTTTTTTTTTAATCTCAAATACATCTAATATTGGGAAAAAACAACAATTGCCAAGCGTTTTTTGCCCTTCCTCCCACATATCACAATATTATCAGTGTTTCAGCATCTAATGGCATGTGGGAAGCTCATATATATAGGAAAACTATACATATTCTAGAAGAGGAATAATGTAAGGAACCATCAATCACAGAGATGATTTCTATGCTCAAGTACACACTTGTTCAACAGACTTCAGAAAAAGAAAAACTATCTGGCAATATGTACTGATGCTTCTCTTGTGAGTTAGATGCTAACAATGCCTTTCATTACATCCACAATGGCATCTGCACTTTGTGCCACTCTTGTTACCTAACACATTTCTTTTCTTTTTCTGGCCAAGATTAATGCAGACTTTGACATGATTTTTTAAATAGCTGTCAGGATGAATCAGAGATTCATAAATCAGAGGTATTCAGGCTGCAGTGAATGGATTTTCTTCTTCTTCAGCTTAGGAAACACTTAACATATCAACGTTCTCTCCTCATATGCCAGTAACAAAGCAAGCAAGGTAGAACTTACAGGCATTCGTGATGTTTCAACTCCCTTCAGTTTGCTGAAGAATATTTACCTCACCAAGTATTTCTGAGTGGAGAACACACGCTGCTGATCCACAGGCAGCGATTCAGCTTCTGCGCTCTGCATTCTCTGCTATTATGTAGCTCTGCCAACAGGGCCAAGCTTTGCTGGCTCCAGAGGGGCAATACTGCAACACTCTGTACAGGCTCAGCTTGGCTCCCAGTCACAGGGTAACCCTGTGGCTAATCCATCAGTGGCAGAACAGTCCAACCAAGCTGCGTCTGCTTTGTTCACTTAAAAAGAGTTGTTCTGGAAATAATTCTGAATCACCCAGGCACTGTTCCATCCTGCATGGGTCATCCTGAACTCTCCCTCACCCCAGCCTGCAGGAAAAGGAGTAACATTTTGCCACTGTCCAAGGACTGGAGGAACTGTGGAGGGAGGGAGGTGGATGTAAAGAGCCTGCAGTGAGTTTCAGCTCTCCTCTGCCTCGTACATGAGGTGATGCCCAGCAAAGCAGCAATAACATCAGAGAACATTTTCAATGGTGAGATACGCACTTAAGAAAAATACCTGGGAGAGCCTCTCCAAACCTTCCTCCTCCCCACAGCACTTGGCTGTGAGCTACATTTCAGCTGGGATGTTTTCCACACCAAGTTGCAAACTTCTTCAAGTGTAACAGTCTGTCCCATGGCGACACAGGAAAACAAAGACTTAGGTTCTATAACCGATGGCTTTTGTAGCCCTTACAACTCAATTAATAAAGAGATTTTATGAGAAGAAGATGTATGTAACATTTTCCACCTTGTAAACAGGCGACAACCCTATGATGTTTCTTGATTCTGCTTTGGGAGCTGGGGAATTACATCGAAAATGGTCCTCTGTTCCCTTAATTAACAAGCAGGTCCAGCAGTGGGGGGCTGCTTTTTTACTGCTTTGTCAGTTTCTGACTGAGGCTCTGGCAAGTGGTATGTTTCTGATACATCTTAGAAGGTTTACTTCATGCTTGGCAACTGCCAGAAGTCAGAGAAATAATTAAATGAATTACTTGAACAGAGTTCTAATTTGGGAGGTATACAGCTCTTCTCCAAGATGTCCTATCAAAATGTCAATACGGATTTCTCCTAAGTTGCACATCAAAATCAGCTACTAAACTATTTCCCTCCACAGATTCTGTAACAGAAAACTCAGATATAATCTTAGAGTTCAGAAATTGCCTTAATGCAACATTGCTCATAACCTGGTCTATGTTGGGAGTCAAGGAAAAGACACGCCACAGAACGGTGCAAGAGCCTAAGCAATTCTTCCTTTACACCTTCAAGAAACAGTTTCGTCATTAGGAATCTATTTCAGTAACTACTACCTATTATGAGCCAGTGAGACAAATGCAGATCTAAACAATTTGACAGCCTGCAAGAGCCCAGCTCAGATCATAGTGTTCTGGATTCCCCACGCAGCAAAAGCCAATTCAGCAGTTGTGCTTCCAACAAGCTCAGCAGCCTGGGCTCTGCACAAGCACTGGCTGTGCTGCCACTCATGAGGCTGCTCTGCTGTTACACCCCTGCTGCTGCCTGCATCTGTGCGAATGGATTTCACAATGCAATCCAGATTATGTGTTTAAAGCAAATTTGGAGCAAAGCACGGACTTTAGGATATATTGGGTTTTTTTCTCTCTAGAACAGTAGCTCAGCTGGGAAGTAACTATCAAAGAGGAAGAAAAGCAATTCACGCTGATGATGCCATACCTGTCATTGTCCAAGACTGTCTAACCAAGACTGCTGTGCTGGGCTATTCACAAGATAGGAGCTTTTGCTACAGACTTTGTTCTCTCTGAAAATACTACTGCTTACTATTCTGTTTGGTTCCTTTACAATGAAATTACGTGGGAAATAGTATATATGTTAATCAGATGGTATTTCAACTGAACGTTAATGCTGTATAAATCGTTCTAATACTTCACAGTTGCAGCAAGAGAAACATCTTACAGATCACCTGATGAGAGCTGAATCTCAGATCTGTTCTTTATGACAGAA